GTTTTACAAGCCACTTATCGAAAACATGAATTATTTTTTTCAGGATATTAAAATAATCACAAATTCCTTACCAACTTCAATGAAAAACGGGAGCAAGCTCGTGTTGATAACGTGTTATAAATATATTAAAGAAAATCAAGTAAAAGAAGAATATGAGAGATCAAATGTAAGGATAATAGAACCTTTTCTTCTTATTCTTTCTTGTATATTCAAGTGTGTCAAGTGTGAGTTTGTCTATTACAAAGTAAGCTATTTATACTACAAGGAAGATTAAGATCATAAGAGTTACAAGAGTGCACTTCAATTAAAGACATTTAATGGTTAGTAACTCTTCATTAATTGGACATCCACTTAATGCCATTTTCAATGCATTTACAACACTCCCCCTTGGATGTCCATCTTTATAGAGTAATTTGCCGCGTTAAAAACTTTTCCAGTAAAACCCAATGGGAAAAACCTGGACAAAGGAAAAAGAGTAATTTGTCTTGCTAGTTTAATTTTTTAGTTTTTTAGTTTCTCTCTCCTCTCTCATTTCTTCATCTTCCCCGTCAATCCCTCATTTTCTTTCTCTTTCATCCGATCACTGCCTTCACTGTTATTTTCTTTTTTTCTACCTTCACTCCATCTTGAAGTAACATATATCCTTTCGTCCTTTTTCTTCAGCCATGGATCCGGCCAGCCACAACTCATCGCAACTCAGATCCGGCCACTCCCGATTCAGATCCGACCACCCTCGACAATATCCGACCAACCACCACGAAATTCCGACGGGAATAATCATTATTGAGCTAAAACTGGATTTTTCTCCGGTTTCCAGTTTTACCGGTTCTTAGCGGTCGGACCGGATTTTCGCCCTTTGACCCGGGTTTTTGGGTTTTCGAGTTTTGGTAACCAACCGAACCGGATAGGCAGGCGGTTCGCGGTCGAACCGGTTGGACCGGCCGATCCGGTCCGGTTTTCAAAACATTGGTATTAGGATATAGGTCCCTGGTGACAAAACTTATTTGAATTAAATGACAAGTCTAACTAAACATTTGCTTCACATCCTTTATAAAATTCATTCCAAAAATGCCCCTCTACTCACAAATTCGAAATATTCATTAAGTAAATTACATACTGCATTTATCATTTTATTTATTATGCATTTAATATTTTCATATTTCAATCTAATATTTTTTTTCTTCACAATATCCATTTGTCTTCCTTTTTTCTTTATTCGTTTTAACATTTTATACACTATTATAAAAATTTCTTTATTTTTTTCCTTTTTTTCTACATGATACAGTATTGAGAATTAAAAAAAAAAGAAAAAAAAAAAGGCATGCTATTTTTTTATTTTTTTTATTTCAATTTACATATTTTCCATTTTTCCGTAGTATACTATGGTATATTACGATGTACTATAGTATACTATAGCGTAGTGGTGTACTATGGTATACTACGGTGTAGTATAGTACACTACGTTGTACTATGCTTTACTACCAAACCCTGGCCACCAAAAACTCCTAGTCGTCGCAAACCCTAGCAGCCAACGTAGCCGCTGCCAACCCTAGCAACGCTCACAGCCGCCGCGATTGTAGTCACCTACCAACTTTGGAAAAATCTAGATCTGGTATTTGAACCCAAATCAATCAAAAATCTTTCAAAATACAAGGAAATCAGATCCAATTGATTAGTCCAAAATATACTTTCTATAACATCTCAACCATATTCACAGCCCCGCCCGCACAGCCCCACCCGCCGCCGCAACCGCCACCCGCCGTCGCCCCCTCCACCGGCCACCGCCGCCTCCACCGGCCGCCGCCGCGTTCACCCGCCGCCGCCGCCTCCACCACACTCTCTCGATCCACCGCCCCTGCTTCTGCCTTCGTGCAACTACTGAAAACAAGAGAAAGATGGAGATGAAAGAAAAAAAATGAGAGCAAGGGAGATAGAGAGAAATTGTGAGAGATGGAGAAAATGTGTGAGAAAGAAACATGGAGAGAGAACGTGTGAGAGAGAAAAAACAAAAAGAAGAAAAATTAATTTTAATTGAACGTGAATGTCTAGGTTTATAGGATTTACGGTATAAGGGCAAAATAGGGATTAAAAAAATTAGGGATGTGGCTCATATATTATTTCAAACTAAGGATTTAATTAAAATATTGAATTTGGGTTTGTCATTTTGTTCAAATTAGGTTTCCTTTTAGGGGTTCATGGCATATTAACCCTAAAAATATAGTAAAAAATCTTCTGATATTTATTTTAAAAAAATGATGGATTAATATTTTTGTGCATATAATTCATAATGTTCTCAAATAGTTCGTAATAACCATATCGAATAAATTTTTGGATTTTTATTGCATAAGTCCCTGATCAACCATTTTATTATTATAGGTTTAGGGGCTATATCTCTTTCGTCAATAAGCACATCCGTTAAATATTTATTATAAATAAAGGAAACATTAATGTATATGAAAAAATTACCCCAACCCTTTACACACAATTCTTAATTGTAACCACAATTTAATCAATTTTGACCACAAAAATCCAATTTTGACTTTTTTTTTTCAAACAAAATTTTTTTGCCGCTAGCTCTGGTGTTGACTTTTTAATTTTTTTTTTCTGTCGTCGGATTCTGGAGTTGACTGCCGGTCTCCGGCGTTGACTTTTTTTATTTTTTTCTCCTCATAAATTTTTTATTCGTTTTTTTACGCCCGCCGCTAAGTATTGACCGTAATTGTACTGTCATTAACAGTAATTATACTGTCACTGGCAGTACATTAACGTAATTATACTATCGTTGACAATACATTAACGTAATTGTACTGTCGTTGACTGTATATTTATGTAATTGTACTTTAGTTGACAGTATGATTAGAGTCAACGATAATATTATTTTTTGGATTTTTTTTTTAATTTAATAAAACAGTTGTGATGCGGCTCAAAAGTCACTTCAAGAAATCTCGAATCTATGAGCATATTTTATTTTGGGCACAATCATCGTGGACCTGTAAAACGGGCCACAAGAGGTGCTCTCAGCATTAGTACTCTGAGGCATAAGTTAGAACACCTCAAAAGACGAAATAAAGATATATCCTACCTTGAGTGTTATTAAGCCTCTTTTTACAGAAGAATTCTTTCGGATGCCATTGCTTTTATCCAATTCGGTTAATTGAGTCATGTTAAATCCATGACACTTCACAAGTCGTAATGCTTAAGTTACTAAGATATTTTCTATGCCTTAGTGCCTATATCATCACGTGGCATCTGCTACGCTCAGCTCGTCATTCGAGGCTTGTCAGCTACTCTCCGCTCATCACTTGTCACTCGTCAGCTACCTTCAACTCGTCACTTGTCAGCTACTCTCAATTCGTCACATGTGGGCTCAGCTCGTCACTCTTCAACTACTCCCTACTCGTTAGTTACCCTCAGTTCGTCACTCGTCTACTACCTTCAGTTCGTCGTCAGAGAACTCCTAGGCCGTCAAAGACCTCTTAGGTCTCCAATTCGTCGGAGAGCTCTTAGGTCTCCAGCTAGTCGGAGAACAAGAACTCCTAACTCAACAGAGAGCTCTTAGGTCGCTAGCTCGTCGAAGAACTCCTACCTTGTCATAGAGCTCTTAAGTCTCCTAAGTCGTTAGAGAGCTCTTAGGTCTCCAGCTCGTCTTTACTCACAATGTCTTCTATTTTTTGGACCATAAGTATACACTTTTGGGCTTACCATATCTCAATGTTTTGGATAGTATATTAAAGTCCAATGAAATGGGCAAATGAGTCCAGATCCCATGTGGTCTTATTTCCTCTTTTGGACATGGGTCAACTCTGTTGGGCTTTCCTGGGTCCTGCTAAATCTTGTCGAATCAGGTTGTTACTTAATGGTTTCATAAATTAATTGAGCAACATTTGGGCCATGTTATAAATTAAATCTCATGATAAGCTGGATAAAGTGGTTAGTGTTTAATAAATAACAAATACTTAATAGGGGCCGAGTCTAGGTGGGTAACACAGTAAGATATTCGTCGGAAAAGGTGGGGTGTGGCCACAAGACCGGTTGACAGCGGAAACTACCGGTGAGTACGTGGGCGGCAACGGAAAGGGGCAAATCTTGCTCATGCTCTTCCGAATTTCTGAATCTTGCATGTACGGGGGGTTCGACTCTTCCTCCCTATTTGGCTTTTACGACCTAATAAATCATCATCTATCATCCTAGAAAAAACAAAATTGATATTTCAATTTACTCTATTCCAAAATATTATGTGGAAGGGACAATCAAATTCAAGAATAGATTAATTATTACCAAGTGAAGAAGCTTGTTACTATGTTATTTGTCTATCAAATCGAAGAGGTCGTCTCCGATTCCAAATCCAAGCATCCGAGCCATGTCTTTAGCCTTCAATCGAGGCATCGGAATATCGTTCTCCTTCAACCATTTGTACACTACAAACACTTTCTGCACCACAAACAATTCCAGCGCCTCCGGGTTGAAAACAACCCCCATTCGCATACTCATATGTCGAAAACCACTTTATTTTTCTCTTTTAGATATATGTTTTTAATTGAACAAAATTATGAATCAAGTAGATATATATATATATATATATATATATATATATATATATATATATATATATATATATATATATATATAAGGATGGATCTTTTAAGGGGCAGGGGGGGCTGTTGCCCCCAATATTAAAAAAAAAATTTAGGTATTTTGGCATTTTAATTTTTGAATATTACTTTTGACCCCCTAAATTTTTTGTAAATATGTGTCTTAACCTTAAGTTTTTTGTTTCTTCTCCACAATCTTATATAAATTATACTTGTATACATCATATCTAATATAAAAATATTTAATAAAATGGTTAAATTTGTATTATTTTATATAATATCTATGAATATTTACTTATTTTGGATTTTTTTATCGGTGTCTCTTAAAAATAATATGAGACGATGCCATTAATCTCCAAAATATTTAAGTGCAATACATTAAGATTTTTTTGTCATGGTTAAAATATGATAAAACTATAATATATATGCTATTTGAATTAAAAAATTATCAATATAAACTTATTTTTGCTATATCTTGTGAACTAATAAATTTTTTCGGGGCGCTGCTCTGAACCTCGAAATTTTAGATAACCCCCCAATATTTTGATTTTGATTCCGCCTCTGTATAGATAACGTGCAAGCTCCCCTGCTCTCCAGTCCAACACAACAGGGAGCCATGGGTACATAGCATCCACTCTAACAAACCACAGCCTTATATCTGGATATTCTGATAGTTCTCGTGGATCGTTCTCGTCTTCTCTACGGTAATTTATCGTAAATCCGATCGTGCGCTCCAATAACTCCTTTGACTTCACTACAATCCATTAATAGTATTGTTAATTCAATAATTGTATAGCTATATTTATATTTATAACCGTGATTTAATCTAGCGTAAATTATGGGCACCCCTGAGGTAGGACTAAATAACTTGTAAACTCCTGCGCGGTATTGGTAGTTACAAAAATCCTGAAACTAACAACCCTTTTTACAAACCCTAGCAGAATGAATGAATTGTCTAAATTACCATTTTACTAGACAAAAAAACTCTGTGTAAATTACGTGTAGCACAAAGGTAAGACATAATATTACATGTTACATTACACCCAGCTAGGGGTAACTATGAAAATTCATAATGAATATTATTTGAAATTTTCAAGATTCCGTTACTCATAGTGTAGCTGTAAGACCAAGAAATAGCTTTCGCGAGTATTTGTAATTACCAATACTAACAGGAGTTTGTACGCAAGTTATTTAGTCTTGCTTCAGGGAAGTACGTACCCTGTAATTGCCCCTTTAATCTAATTCAATTTATTCGGCGAACAATTCATACCCGAGTTTGAGGCGGTAATTCCGGTGGCGGAATGAAAGGGGATAAATCGAGACGAGCAATGATGTCGTTGTCGATAACTACTTCGTAACGGCCTTCCTTTGGAGGCATTGGTGGAGCTGGTTTCCCTGCATCTGTTGGTAGTTCATTAAAAAAAACTCTACTCATTTAATTTAAACCTTAAAACATTGTCATAAAATTACCATATATACTAAGACAACAAGTGATTATAGAACTCAACATATGCAGCTGCTACAAAAATGAATAAAAATAATTTATAGTAAAGAAACCTTGGTCTTGGTCGTAGAGAGAGAGAGGTCTAAGTTCCCGGATGGATTGAATGACACAGAAACAGAAACTTGCCTTAGGGACTGTTTGGAATGAAAGAATTCAGAGGAAGAAAAATGGAATTCGGAGTAAGATTTGGGGGTTTGAAATGAACAATATTGTTTGAGTGGACAAGAAAGTGGATAAAGATTTCGTATAACTGAAGTCATTTTGGTGCAGAAGAAGAGTTGTTCGTTCGCTTTTTTTTTTTTTATTTTACTTGTCCTTTTTGTTTCTCGGGTAATGGGAAATAGGCCCATGACAAGGGCATTTAATTAAAAGAGGGACATCCAACTATTTTGTCTTTCAAATAACTCCAACTCATTCAAACTTATTTGTAAATAAGAAAAATCATTTTATATATACCAAAATTACCCCCAATTCATTGAAACCCAATTTAACTCCAATTTCATGATTTACACCCAATTTAGCCCAATTTCATCAATTAACCAATTTTAACCATAATTTCAATTTTGACCCCAATTTTGACCCACCACCACCGGAGACCGCCGGTCGCCGCCGTTAAACAACTGTCTGAGACAGTAATTTAGTAGCCAAGACAGTAATATTAATTTATATATTTTTTTTCTAAGAAAAACAATTCAAAAAAAAAAAGTCAACGCCGGAGACCGGCGGTCAACGGTGGTTGATCGGCCGGAAAAAAATTTCAGGAAAAAAAAATTTCAAAAAAAAAAAAAAAAAGAGTCAACGCCGGAGACCGGCGGTCTCCGGCGGTCAACGCCGGAATCTGGCCGGAAAAAAAATATTTCAGAAAAAAAATTATTTTCTGAGAAAAAAAAAAGTTTTGGGGGTTAATGTGATATATTTGTTTTAATCCGGGGTCAATGTGTAATATTAAGGAAGTTAGAGCATAATGGGTGGAATTAATAAGAATTATATTATTGAGGGTATTTTAGACTAAAGACATGGGATGGGCTTAATTGAGAGACTGTTTTTTTTTTGTGGACCAAAATGCATTTAAAACCCATGTGATGGGCCTTTTTGTCATTTTGCCCTCTTGTTTCTTTGTCACATTAGAATTGTTCTCTAAGATTTTGCTTCTTTTTATTCTTTTTCTTTTTTTCCTTTATCTATTGGGTGTAACTAGAGGTAGAAATTGGAAGAAAAACTTCGAATTCTGCCAATTCTAATTCGAAATTTTCCCATTTTGTAACATTTTGTTTTCATTGCGACTATGAAAGTTTTAATGTCTAATTTTTTTTCCTTTTTTAAAGATAATTGGAATATGTATTAGATTCGATTTTCCAATCCGATTTTAGCTTTCGAAATTACAACTACTTTTCCGAAAATTACACTTATAATATTATGTACTTTATATTATAGGTACACCTGAAAACTAGAATTTCAGAACTCTGTTGATTCCGTTCAAATAAATCCGATTTTAGAATATTTTTTATCGATCCAATTTCAGAAATTTTAGATTTTCGATTTTTCTGATTTTTTGGAACGACATTGGAATTAGTTTCTTCTTCTAAAAAAAATTGTTTTTTTTTCTTTTCAAAAGTGTTAATCTGGATCAGACTTACATCCTAGTTCTAGTATATAAGTTGGATTCAGGCCCAATTGCCCTATTAAATAAAAAGCCCAGCAATAAGCCCAAATGAAAGGCCCATGATGCGACAGGCCGCTACTGGCCCTATCAGCTTCCCCTATGTGGAATAGACGGCTAACAGATGGGACTATCTTTGAGGCTAAAAGTAGAAAGCCTGCAATGACAAGGACATGAAGACCACCAACGTGGGATCCAAGAGCGGGGCAGCCTCAATAGCGAGCTCCGTTCTCGAAGCACGAGCCCTCATCTTACATGGCGGAGGAAACTAGCCGCACAAAACAAGGCCTTGGCACTTGCAGACAAATAGCCCGGGGAGGTTACATCACCCCAAGGTGAGGGTATGGCCAAAAGTGAGAGAGGACTCCACCACCTCACCTTGACGTACAAAATTGTCACCACGATACGTCATATTCACTCTTCAAAAACACATTTTCTCTCTACTGTTATTCCTGGAAAAAATTCAATGCCTGGGAATTCGTGTAATTTAGTTACAACTTGTATAAAATCAGAGATCTTTAAACAAGACAAACAAAAACTTGTAGTAGTAAAGATTTTGCAGTGAAATATAAATATCACAAGTTTTAAATCATTATCCACAAGAATACAACTTGTGGATGGTGTTACAGGCTAAAACCAGTATTCAAAATAATACAAATGAGAAGCCAAGTTCTTCTCTTCTAAGAAGAAGTCACAAAATGATTTCTACATAAACCAAATTCCTAGTATCTAGTACAAAAATACTTAATGATATACTAGGAATTCAAATTAGTATTTAATGAGATTGAATACAAAACAGACTCAATTGTGTAATGAGAAATCTATAAGGAATACAAGGTGTTGTAGACGTTGTTCTAACATTCTGAGCTCTTCGCTCTTGATTCTCTTCAGAAATGGGTATAAATAAACTTGGATCTTCTCCTATTTATAGAGTTCAGGAACATCATGTCCTGCACGAAAATAACACATTAAGAGAATATAGAAAGTTAGTGGGATAATGGGTTAGTGGATAAATTAAGCATGTGCTTAAGATAACTGCCCACTAAGCTAACAACAACCGCCCACTAACTCTAGATACTAAATTCGAATAATAAATTATAAAATGATAATAAAATCCGAATAACAAATTATTCAAATTTGACCCACAACACAATTTTATGGACAATTTCGTCCGTCACCGCCGCCGATGATCGCTGGTCTCCGGCCTTGACTTTTTTTTTCTTCCTGATTTTTCCGCCACCGGTTTTCGGCGTTGACTTTTTTCGATTTTTTTTTTCTTTTACATCTTTTTGCCCCCGTTTAAACATCAATATTGCTATGGTTGACAGTAATATTAACAATACTGCTGTTAAACATAGTAAAATTAATTATACTACAGTTTAACACAGTAATATTGTTATATTAATCTCTAGCACAGTAATATTAACACGACAAAAGTCATTATTATTGTGTAATTGAGTAATATTAATATGTTGACCGTTCAACAAAGGTAAACATAATAAAAAGCCAAAAAAAATAATATTACTGTGTTTACAATAATATTACTGTAACAACAGTAATATTACCGTCAACCACAGTAATATTACAATAATAGACAATGATATTATTACGTTACTCCGTCAATAACTCAAACAATACAAAAAATCCAAAAAAACAATATTGATGTGGTTGACGGTAATATTATTGTGTTTACGGTTATTTTACTGTCAAGTAATATAATTACGTCGACTTGTCAACAAATCAAATAAAATTAAAAGAAAAAAACCAAAAAAAAATAATAATATTGTCGTTAACTCTAATTGTACTGTCAACGGCAGTACAATTACATAAATGTAGTGTCAACGGCATTACAATTACGTTAATGTACTGTCAGTGACAGTATAATTACGTTAATTTACTGCCAGTGACAGTATAACTAATGTTAATGACAGCGCAATTACGGTCAACGTTTAGCGGCGGACGTAAAAAACAAAAAAAACAAAAAAAAAAAAACCATTAAAAAAAGTCAACGCCGGAGCTCGGCGGCAAAAAAAATAATTTCTGAAAAAAAAGTTTAAAAAAAAAGTCAAAATTGGATTTTATGGTCAAAATTAATTAAATTGGGCTTACAATTAAAAATTAGGTGTAAAGAATTGGGAGTAATTTTGTCATATAGATTAATTTTTCCTCTATTTATAACACATATTAAATGAATAAGTTTATTGGCGAAAAATATATAACCCCTGAACGGCAGAACCTAAAATAATAAAAATGGTTGGTCAAATACAACATATTTATAATGTTGAAAAGTAATAAAGTTCTAATACAATTCAAAAACCTAATTAAATTTAAAAATAACTGAAAAAGAAAAGTCAAAAACCAGTTAAAAGACCAATTCTATTAGAATTTGTAATGTTAGGAAAACCCCAATTTATAGAATCCTAATTTGAATGATTTGACGTTAGGTTTCTTATACTTTCTTAAAATATTTTGAAAGTCTAAACGATGTTGCATTGGCGAAATATGATGTTTGGTTGCATTTCCATGTCACTTTAATTCTTTCTCACAAATTTGTGTTTGTTTAGCTTTTCAAAAAAAATTCTCACAGCGATTTCAAAAATTTCTCCCTCCTCCAAACATGATTTGACTGCTAGTAAAAGAAAACGTTTTGATTAAACAAACATCACTTTATTTTTCAAATTCTTCTTCAGCAATATATTTTTCCAATATATTTTAACATGATTCGATCACTACAGTACTTTATTTGATGTAGTTCATTTAGGACGACTACGAACAGATTTGACAAAGTTTACCGGTCAAACGACATAGCTAAAGACATTTATTTTATGAAGCTTCAGTTGTTAGTTCAGTTGTTGAGAATTTTCCACTAGAATCATTCTCCGGTTTGACTCAAATCAAATGTGACCCAATTGACTCAGTCTTGAGTCAGAATGTGACCTTTGAGAATCATTCTAATGTAGTCAAAATGGACTCTTGAATGCAGGGGCTGAATATTATGCGTTCACTAATTGACTTTCTATTTTTCGCTGTTTGCAAAAGTTTATTTAAAAATAGAAGTTATGGATTGTAGGTTAAGTTGGTTTTAAGTACTTATTTTTAAAAGTTGGGAATGTTTACGAATTTACTGGATAATCTATCTATACTATCTATAAAAGTGGGAATAATATGGTAGGTTTCTTCCCTTTTATGTGATGACCAAAATACCCTTTTCAATAGAATAAATTATATACATAAGATAAGTGAGTAATAACTAATAATAATACAAAGCTATAGGTCATTTAATATATAACAACGGAATTTATAATTGAAGTTTACAAATTAAGAAATTTTGCAGTTGTCCTTTTGATATCTATATGTAACCTAAAGAATCCAATAATTATTTAAATTTCTTCTTAAGTTTTACATTTTACAATAATATGATTTCTTGCTTAGTAATGACCCTCACCAATTTGGATATAATCCATTATTCTTTGTAATTACAACATGGATAGTCTTATTTTTCCCAATTGTTTACACTACACTAATAGCATCACAAACTTAGAAGATCTTTCAACATAAAATTGGAGAATATGTATCCAATGTGTGAATTTTTAAATATTGTATGGAAACATCAAATTCATAATCATTTTTTTTTGCCTTTAT